GCTTTGATACGTTATTTTGACTCTACTTGTTCTTCTTATTACTGTGGAATAAACAAACAACTTACGATACGTAGATTACTAATTAATTACTTGAATAAAGAAGTAGGGTTTATCTTCAAATTTTGATCCGTGGGAGAGTATTTCTTGTAACATTTAGATTTCTGAATATGTTAGGAGTTGATGATAGACTTACACAGTTAAGAATAATTAAACCATGTTTTTAATATAAATTATATCATGGAAATGCACAAGTTTACCTGTGTGACCATTTTTGTTCTAAATAACAATATTACATGTACTGGTTTTTCTATTAAGAATTTTCGCATATCTGAGATAAAAGTCTTCAAGTTTCTTTTTACGTACAATGCTATGGATGACTGGAATGTACTGCCATTAGAGATCAAGGAGGCGAATAAAAAAAATTATGAAAGCAATCAGATCCTTTTTAACTACAAATGCAAAAGATAATAAATGTTGGTTTGTCCAATTATATATTTCATAAGCATTTTAGTAATTATTTTTAAGTTTTAACTGAATAATTTTTACCTAAGTTATGAAACTTGTCAAAGCATCGTGCAAATATTTTTAGTACCATGTCTGAATTCCAATATGTATTTTTTTTTAAATCTAATTATGATATAATGACCCCTTTGAAAATAAGCTTATTAAAGGATTTATGGGCGATCCTTATGTAATATATATAATCTGTATGTCATGTAATTTGTATGAATATAAATGCCTTATGGAATTTTTGGAAAATTGCATAGCGCTGAGGTATATAACTCTCCGTGATCGGGAGGCCGTGAGTTCGTATCTCGGCCGCGACTGACCTTAATAAGTCGATAAAAAAATAGGTAGCAACTGTTCCTTCGCCATGCGCTCGGCACTTAAAAGTGAAAGTTTCGGGTCCTTAAAAACCGAGGCCCCGTGTCTCGGCAGGCGTTAGCATGATAAAGATCCCTTACTGCTTAATGGCCCTGAGTGCCGAATAAAAGTCAAAATTTGAAGCCCTTCACCGGTATATGGTGACGTCTCTATATGAGTAGAAAATTCTCGAATGGGACGTAAAACAACTATCTATCTATCTATCTAAACTCCAAAGCCCGGTGGTCACGCCAAAATCCGATGGGCTGCGCCAAACCCCGATGGTTCACACGCCAAAGTCCGATGGCGCAGAAAAAATAATTGTTTATGACGTCATAGTACTTCTGCGTCAAATTGCGATGCCGCGCCACGCTAAGGTAAAACGGTTTCAAATAAATTAAATGAATTTTAAGTATTTGAACGCCAAAGTAATATGGTTCACTGAAAAAACGCAAAAAATATATTGTACCACTAGCCATAATTTCTTAAGTGGTTGCTAGGCTAACCCTTACCTCTCGGATGGGTGTGAGGCTAACTCTAACCTTTCGGATGGGTGCGAGGCTGACCCTAATCTCTTGGATGGTTGCGAGGCTACTCCTAATCGGTCAAAAAGTCTGTAACATATCCTGGATGGGAGAGAAACTAACCCTAATCAGTCAAACCTCTTTTGGGGTGCGAGACTAAAACTATTCAATCGAATAGTGTACAAGGGTTAACCCTTAATGTCTTGGGTGGGTGCAACCCATCACTAACCCTTATCAGCCAAGTGGTGTGCAAGGACTAATCCTAATAACTCAGGTGAGTGCAACATGAAGTAAAATCAGTCAAATTGCATTCGATGACTCATCCTAAATTATTGGTTTTGAATTAGGAACTATAGCATCGAGGATTGACCTCGGAATATTGTGACGTCATAAACGTTAATTGTTTCTCCGCACCATCGGACTTTAGCGTGTCAGACCATCGCACTTTAAATAGCGCACGTGTATCATAGGAAACGAGCCATCGGACTTTAGCGTGACATCGGACTTTGGCGTCCGTACAGACGCGAACCATCGGGGTTTGGCACAGACCATCGGACTTTGGCGTCTCCATCGGATATTAGAGTCCTATATATATATATATATATATATATATATATATATATATATATATATATATAAATTATATATATATATATATATATATATATATATATATATATATATATATATATATAACATTTTTGAATAAGTTTTCCTATTATATCACAAATGTAATAAGTTTCACTATAAACCCCGAAGAATCACACCGGAAACAGTTATGTCACAAGCCGGAAACAGTTATATCACCCGACGAAAACAGTTATAACACCCTCTCGATCACTTTCACGTGTCTTTATGTTACGCATTTGTAGCTCAGGTTCGAGATTTAATGACGTCGGTTGGTAAGCATAAGTAAATAACGGAGCCCAATTCTTAACGTCATGAAAGCATTTTTGGATTATTTGCCTAAACTTAAACAATTCTAGACTATTTTTTAATTTAAAAATGTTATATAACATATACCACATGACTTCTCGGGTGACTATACCAGAATGTTTGCCCCTCGGTGACAGGAAAGTCCTGAGTGTTATGTCACCCTCTGCCTTCGGAATCGGGTGACATAACACCCCAGGACTTTCCTGTCACCTTGTGTCACAAACAGACAATATGATCTACCTGTTACTCTACTAAAATGTATTGCAAAATATACATTGAAAAAATGAAATACATCATAAAAATCCATCCCCTCAGGCCAAATATCCAATAATTATTGTACACAATATATACAACAAACAGCTGCACATTGAAATATATGTATGAAAGAAAGGTTGAGGTTGGGTGTGCATTTACAGGAAATTCAAAGAGCTAACGCTATCTAACCACAAAGTGATAATTATTTCCAATGATTTGTTACTGGAACTCAAAGCTCTGGCTAGCAACACAGACTTACATAAAAAAATGTGTCCATTAACATCCAACTAACCAGTGTGTCAAATTTATCAGACTGAAATGCAGTTATTTACAATAAAGCTGCATTATGCTTACTAGTAATCTGCCTTACTTCGTGCAACTTCAAATCAAAACAAAACAAAAGATTCGAGAGAATATATATTGTTGCATTGAATTTCATTAAAAGAAGCAAGCACGATAGAAAAGTTAAGTCATTATGCTTCTCATTAAGTTTTTTTTTTTAGTTTGCCACAAATGTCTTTTTCTAGTAAAATATCAAAATAGGAAACAGCTGTGTCGAACTTTGTGATGACTTTTTTCGAGTTCAAAGTTACATATCGAATCAATAAACTGTTTTGCATCTTTAATTAAAAAGAAACTGGCTTGTTTGTATTCTTGCAATACAAGAAGTATAAATACAAGGAATAGCGAATGTATCTTGTTTTCTTAGCTTTTTCATGCAGTCACCTCAAAACTGTAGGAGGATTTTGGATGATTTTCATCTATTCTTTTTCGTAGCTATGGCAACAGAAATAGCTAGAATATTTGTTTTGGTTTAGTTCATCCGTGTATATTTACCAGGTTTCATCGAAATCAGAGAAAACTGTTTTAAATTTTTTTTACTCCTTTCTATCTTTACCAAACACCTGTAAATATCTCACTGAAATTTTAATATGAATACCTTAGTATAGTATTTTGTATTTATGTATTCCAAATTTATTGAAATCAATTTGAAATTGCAAGAAGATTAGCGTTTTGAAAGAATTTCTCAATCCTTTTTTTTTTAGTAAACAAGGTCAACATCTTGAATAAAGATAAAGAGTTAGGTTTTTTTGCTGGTTTGTTGTTTATAACGTTCCACTCATATGGAGACGCTACCACTTGCCGGTGGAGATCGAGCTGCAAATGTTGACCTATACTCGGCACTTAGAGCCATTCAGCAGAGAGAGATATTTTTCGTGACAGCACCTACCGTGGCACGGGACCTCGGCTTATACGGTCTCATCCGAAGGACTTGTCTCCACGTCCCTCAGTGGAATTCGGACCCGCGACGTAAGGAGTAGCTCCTTTCTCCGCGACTCTAAAGCAGATGCTCTACCACTGCGCTACGAAGGCGATTAAAGAGTTAGGTAATTCATTGATGTTAACTTGTCTATCAAGTTTATTGGAAGCTGGGCCAAAACTGTAGGAGGAATGGCGTTTTGATTGATTGCATGTTGTTTTACGTCCCATTCGAGAATTTTTCACTTTGAGACGTCACCAAATACCGATGAAGGGCTTCAAATTTAGACCTTAACTCATAACCCTGGGCCATTCAAGTGAGAGTTCTTTATCTTCGAAAGTTAGGTGTAAATTTATCGATATTTACAACTGAACGTAAATTTCGCCAGGTGAAAGGTCAAGTACCTAATATGCATGTCAATCTCCCGAGCTGTCATTGTGTCTGACGCCACAGGGCGGAGACTATGGATGCCTCAAGAATTTCAATTCTATTACACAGCATTTTTTATTTATATTTACATTTTTATTTCACATTTAAATGTAAATACAAGTATCACACCCCCGCTAGATGCGTGTGCTTTCCTCAAAGCCACTGGGGTGGACTATTGGTAAAAAGATAAAGCCGCCTTAAGATTTGCAGACCTTTATTTCTCGTTGGGTCGGACAGTATCAGGGACAATGTCCCGATTCCAACTCTCCGAATGTTAACAAAATTTCGTATTTATAGACAAGAAGAATAATTTACACAGGTCTCCGTTGCGGTCCAAGGCTGCAATGCATAGCGGCGTGTAAGAAAGTTGCTTTTCTGAATTGGGGAATTCTCGTAGTACATGTCGTTAGAGGAATCAAATGATAGAGCTCGCTTGGCTGTGAGAGGGGGTCATGCCCGGCTATCTGCACCACTTATCCCCCCCCCCCCCCCCCAGCTAGATGCGTGTGTTTGTCGCAAAGCCACTGGGGTGGACTTTTGGTAGTAAGATAAAGCCGCCTTAAGATTTGCAGACCTTAATTTCTCGTTGGGTCGGACAGTATCTAACTCTATTCTAACTCTCCGAATGTTAACAAAATTTTGTATTTATAGACAATATTTATAATTGACAATTTTGAGCAACATATGTCATGAGTTATTTGATTTACAAGTAGAGTTAAAGATTACATATTTAAATAAACAATAATAAAGTCACAGTCCATCTGGTTATATTACTCATAGCTAATTAACATAATGAAATATTTTTTAATAGATAAATCTGACAGATTGAAGCAATTATGACAACTCATTAATTGATAACAGAAATGTAGAATTTGACAGAGAAAATATTCAAAGTAATTGTCAAAATGTCCAAAAGTTCATTTTCATCTGTGACATAAGGAATCATTCGCCCGTTATGCAAATTAACACACGTTTCCAACTGTTGTCAATGTCCATGGCATACTCATATTAGTAATTCCTTATACCATACTCTTTGGTTTCTTTTTTTCTTTAAGAGTTCCTTGTTCGTTTTAACATAACACCAGCACAAAGAGCAACACTAAAAGATGTGAAACAAACCACAACCCTGAAAATAGAAATTTTTAAAAAACTTTTATACAGGGTCTTGCAGCTGTCTTTTGTAAAATGAAATAAATTGCGTATCATTTTAAATTACGATTAAACTCATTTATAACAATTTATTTTTGAAATTGTAAAAGAAACATTTCAATTTTAGTTGTGTTTAAGTTATTTTTCTCTGTTTTGGCAGAAGCTAGGGACATTAAAACTCATTCGTCTGAATGACCGTCTGTCAGTCTCAAAATCTGAAACTTGGTCATAACTTCTGAATAAGAGAACATATGGCTTTCATATTTCACATTATCCGTTACGTCAATCACTTGACTTTTTCGATTGTATTATTTCAAATTTAGACCTCATGATCTCGGCCCTGAAGGTTTTTTTACTTTCCTTTCTTTTACTTTTTTTAAAAAAAAAATAACGTTACATGGTTATATCATTTGAATAAGTCTATTAGGTAAAGCCTTGGAATGCAAGTAATTTATAAAGAAGTTTACAAAACATCATCATGTTCAGAAAAAAAAACAGAGGAAATTCGGATTAAAAGTCGGCGATGATTACAGTGCCTTTTAACGTGTTATGAGCTTTGCTAAATGAAATAAATAAAAAGAGGAAAATTACAGACAATTTGACAGTTTTACTTGGTGTTTTTGCAAGATAATTAAATATAAAAGCACTGTTCAACAATTGGGAAACAATACTGCCAAATTGGGGGGAAAAAATGAACTTATTTTTAATTGGGAATGGGGCCGAATTTCGGCCCCTGACAAGGGACTGATAAATCCCTGTTAATTTACAAATGTACATGTGTATCTGTCAAATCAATTTTAAAATGCTTATGTGAACAAGTGGCTCATGGGCCTCTTATGTAAGTATTTCATATTCTAAATTTCATTACAAGTCTGAAATTTTTCGACCCTCATTTGAAACCTAGGGTGAAAATGAAAATTCCGAAACCTTATTGTACATCTACAGGACACCACCAATCGATTACGCTACTGCTTAAAATGTAAGAGGGGTTCTGGGAACCAGGGTGTTTTTTATTAAAAAAAAAAAACACGTTATTTTTCGACCCCCATTTGACCCTCAAGGTGAAAATGAAAATTTCGAAACTTTATTGCACATCTGCAGAACACCACAAATTATCTTCCAAAAGATGATTAGGGCACTATGAAAAATGTAAGAGGAGTTCTTGGAACCAGGGTTTAGTAGAAAAACATCATTTTCGACCCCCATTTGATCCCTAAGGTGAAAGTGAACATTCCAAAACCTTATTGCACATCTACAGGACACCACCAATCATCTTCTAAAAGATTATTAGGCTTTGTGCGTAAAATGTAGGGGAGTTCTGGGAACCAGAATTTTATCGAAAAAAACGTCATTTTAACCCCCGTTTTGCCCCAGGGTTAAATTGAAAATTCCAAAACCTTACTGCACATATATGGAACACCACCTATCATATTCCAAAAGATTAATTGGTTATTGCTTAAAATTAAGGAGGGTTTAGAGGAATTAAGAAGAAAGTATGACAGACGGACGGACCAGGGTAACAACAATACCCACACTTTCTTAAAAAAGTACGTGTATGTTTGATAAATAAAATATATCGATAACGGCAAACAAATTAAACTCACGTAATAATGAATTTATACGTGACGGAGAATTGTATTCTTTCGTTTGTAATGATCACGTATGGTTTATTCAGTGTTTTTAATTTTTCCGTGGTCGATATATTCTTCAGGACAAGTGCATAACAGTCTGGATCTGAAAGAATAAGAGTATTAAATAATCAGTGTAAATGAATTGAAGATAATAAAGGGGAAATGGTAAATGAAGGAAGGGGGTCAAGGAAAAGTTTAATGAATTAATCAAATAGTTACATTCTATTACAAGATACATACATTTATATGCGTCAGTAGACGTATAAGATGGCGGACAGGAGTTATTATGATCAGAACATGACGCTCTGGTATTCGACTGTATTCTTTTACCAAATGGATTATACTCAGCACAAAATCGACCTGTATTCAATAAAAATCATTTTTGTTTGTTTTATACATCATCTAATGAGCTTTACAAAAAATGTATAAAAACAAAACTTTCAAAAAACGTTGCAGGTTTCACACTTTATACCTATTACTTGGACTGGTTCGGCGCACACCTCTATTAATTTTGATACTGACGGATCTATGACACAGTGATATGGATTCGGAGATCCGTTAATCGTTGTTGTAGAACATAGCATCGCTTTGGAAGCCTGTATTCGTTGCTCTTCGGTGACTGGGCATTCTTCGACGTACCGGAATTCATCATTAGTACACTTTAGACTTACTCCCACTACATGAATTGCGAGAAGAATGACAAGGTGTTTCGGTATCTATAAGAACTATATTTTTTTCAGAATAGTGGATACTGATTGTACACATGTTTTAAAGAAAAAAATATTTCTATGTTTATCTCTTAAATTTTAAGTTTTAATAATGTATTTAAATGGCTTCAAAATATCAGGATTAAGAAATATCACGTACCCTTTTGTAAAGGACAGTTCCAGATTCTTTCTAAGTAATAAATGAGAAACAAATATTCTTACATCGTTGATGAGAAAATAATATATACATAAATCATGATGAGAAAATAATATATACATGAATCAAAGTAATTGATTCGCCATTTTAATTCTAGTCCTATACATAAAAGCATTGAAAAGTTTTTTTGTATTTTAAATATTTCAATGAGAAAAATGAATCCTAGAAATTTTTTCTTCCTAAATATTTTATTTGAGAAAATCGTTCACATTGTAATCATTATGGTATCCTATATTTTACACTTTATTTAAACGCCAAGAAAACTAGAGGTACTGTGAGCACTGAGCTCACTAAATGATACCCCCGCCTCCCATATGATTATAATGGCAAAGTCCATATTTTGCCCTGGGAGACCCGAAATAAGTGTCAGATCAAAAAGTAAAATAGGAGGTGCACAATGGCACTATGTAACAAAGATTCTGTGAAAGTCTCATTAAATTTCATTCAGTGGTATAAGAGGAGTTGCGGATAAGAGATACATGTACGTACCCCAAAGCGTAACAGACGGACGGACGGACGGACGGACACCCCGATCACTATATACCCTCTCACTTTTCAAGCGGGGGATATAACAAGATGTGTTTGTGAAACAATAATACTCCATCATGTCAGCTTAAATCAAAGGTTAAACTTTTTCAAATGCAAATCAAATATGTTGGTAACCAAAGTAAGGTCTTGTCTCGAAGAATGTACCTGTGAAATATGAAAGCCCTAGCACCAACCATTGAAAAGATATGGAAAAGGTTAAAGTTTTTCTAAGTAAGTCAAACATCAAGATCAATGTCAAAATTAATGGTGTCCAATGAAAGGCCTTCTGGAAAGAAATATACATGTAAAATATGAAGGCGGTAGCACCAGTCGTTCAAAAGTTATGGACAAGGTTAAACTTTTTCCAACAGAAGGTCAACTGCAAAGTCAAGGTCAATGGATTACAATTGTTGGTATCCAACGGAAGGTGTTGTCACAAGGATTATACATGTGAAGTATGAAAGCACTAGCACCAACTGTTCAAAAGTAATGTCAAAGGCTAAAGTTTTCTATAAGTAGGTCAAACTCAAAGGTCAAAGGGTCAAAGTTGATGGTATCCTAAGGAGGGTCTTGTCACAAGGATAACACAAGTGAAGTATGAAAGCCCTAGCACCAACTGTTCAATAGTTATGGCCAAGCTAGGTTAAAGTTTTTCAAAAGTAGGTCAAACTACTAGGTCAAGGTCAAAGGGAAAAAAAGTTGTTGGTATCCAAAGGAAAGTCTTGTCACAAGGATTACAGAAGTGAAGAATGAAAGCCCTAGCACCAATTGTTCAAAAATTGTGGCCAAAGTTAAAGTTCGGTAAAAATTTTGCAAAAATGGGTCAAACTGCAAGGTCAAGGTCAAATATGATGGTCTTGTCACAAGGAATACAATTGTGAAATATGAAAGCCATAGCTCCAACCAATCAAAAGTTAAGGGCAATATTAAAGTTTTTGCTGACAGACAGACAGACGAACGGACTGGGCAAAAACTACACATATAAAAAAAATGTAGAACTTTATTATTACAGGTATTTAAAATTCAAGTCGGGTCATTCAGAACAAGTAAGATATAAGTTTTTCTACAGATTATACAAAAATACAACTAGATTGAAAGGCTTTACCTATATTTCAAACAATTTTGAAAGTTTAAGTGAGTCATAATTGCTGTAGATATTTTAAAAATCGCCAACACAATTCCAAAAAAAGACCTGGATATATCAAGGCCAAACTGTTTTCACTTAAAACACGACCCTAAAGCATTCGAAAGGGTTTCTTTATCCTAGACACCATGCTCTGGAAATATCCATTCCGCGTGTTCTTAAAAATACATGCATTTTGTACTTTAAAAATACATGCATTTTGTATGCTTGCAAGATACACTGATGCATACATGTACGAATTGTTATTTAAGTTGCAATGTAATTTAACCATTCCGTTAATTCACTCGGCTTTTCTTCCTTTTTTCAAATTAAAACGAAAAAGATTAGGAATTTCCAGAGAAAATGATTGGTTGATTCATATAGAGACGTCACCATATACCCGTGAAGGGCTTCAAAATTTGACCTTTACTCGGCACTCAGGGCCATTGAGCAGTGAGGGATCTTTATCGTACCAACGCCTGCCGTGACACGGGTCCTCGGTTTTTAAGGTCTTATCCGCAGGACCCGCAACTTTCACTTCAAAGTGCCGAGCGCATGGCGAAGAAACAGTTGCTACACATTTTTATCGACTTAGGTCAGTCGCGGCCTTGATTCGAACTCAAGACCTCCCGATCACGGAGCGAGCGCTCTACCGACAGAGCTACCGTGAACGGTCCAGAGGAAATGATGTTTACAGAATCAAACGAAATAATACAAAAATCAATATTATTCAGAATTGCATTGTTTTTCACTTTCATGATTTGAATTGATAGAGGAATATGACTGTAGCACAAATTATTGGAACATTATTAAACATTGTTTTAATCGCTTCTTCAACCAGTAACAGATGCAGTACATAAGTAAATAAATACAGAATATACCTGAGTTTATGATACTGCATGGTATGATGTTAAAGTACATAATTACAATCTCAATTTAATATATTTAAACTATAATTGGTCTACAGTATGTAAAAGTACGAAATACTAGTACAATGCACATATTTAATTTTGAATTTTTTTAAATATAGGAGATAATATTCTGATTTTTGTTGCTTTGGATATCGATGGAATGCGATCTTATCGTCCTGTATCGGTGAGAAAATGTCAACTTGCTCATTCAAAACATATCAGAAATGTTAGTAAAAATTATAAGTAATGGCCTTTTTTATATACTTTTCCTATTTGAAAGAATGCACACAAGGATTTACTCGAACTAACTACACAATACACTGCCAGTATCCTTCATATGGTAGAAAATGTCAAAAAGAATGTGCATATGAGAGAGGTTCTTGTGACAACAGAGATGGATGTATTTCATCAAAGGAAGTCTACTTAACAACACGCTTACAAGAATGGGGTCATATTACTACAATTAGTCTAACTAAAGCAATTCATAGAGGTATAAGAAAGCAAGAGATATAAGAAAAGTAGACTATTATATTTTCTTCTGGTCATTGGACTTGTAAGTCTGTTTGTATCATTGTCAGTGCTTTCATCAAATGCACAGGGGTACGATTTTTTTTAAACGTGTATATTCAAATGGAGCACAAGATGAAGACAATACGTACAGTAAGCCAATCGACAGGAATATTTAGGTAGGGTTTCATCCTCATGAATCATTTATAGTCTATCACGAGGAATCAACGTGTATTAATTGCTTGGTTTTCAAACTAAGTATGGTCAGTGGAGTTTACTACTTTGAAACGATTTGAACAACTGCACTGGCACATCAGCAAATTTGAATTCTAAGGATTAACATTACTAAAATAGCACCATCATTATTTTGTGATTTTCTTTCATATGCCTTCAATAACTTTATGACGTAGTGCACATTCTAAATACATGTTTATTTGAAAGACACAATCGAATAATCTATGAAAACACTCATGATTACTCCCTCCTTTGCAATGGCTAAAATTAAATTGTAAACACGTACATGTATAGCGCACTCAGTATACAAACTGACCTACAATGAAATATGGAGATAACGAACAGTATTCAAGCTCAAAGTCTATTAAAACAATACAAATCGGGAGCAGAGCAAACACGGACCTCCAAAAACAGAGGTGGGATCAGGTGCCATGGAGGAGTGAGCACCCCCTGCCGACCGGTCACACCCGCCTTTTCATGATAGGTAAATAACGGAAAAATCCGTCGACAAATCAGTGTTTAAATAACAGCCTAACAATTAGTATGAAAAACGCCAGTCAGCATATGACTTAATGAGAGATTGTATGCTGACAAGTTCATTGTATCGATCACAGAACTTACGAAATTATGACTTTAAACGAGACTGTGATATTCTTGTTTCACCAACTTGTTTGGCAATAACTTGCCTCGTTTTAGAAAGTGTTCATACATGTACATAGAGCATGTTCTTGCGTATCGAATCAACTGAGAGATATAAACCCACTATGCAGGTGATAAGGATATATTGCTGCACAGGTGGCAGGGATAGTTTCGTACTAAAGACCCGGTCAAATTTCTTAAAAAATTGAGATATCCCCTGTTTGATGTGATATTTTATGTAGAAAAATGATTAGAATAATTATGGGACACATTTGCAGTGTAGCAGAGTGCTTGCTGAAAAAAATGATGTGCAACATGTAGGTGTCACTATGACGCTTATCATATACAGAGTTGTAAATGCGAAACTAAGACACGTGGTCAGTTGCAGAGGAAATTCAGCTGAAAAGCAGTAGGCCTTAGAAGAAGGTGTGTATCTCAGAGGGAAGGTGAATGGCCCCATATCAATTGGTGAATTTTTATTAGGGCTTGCATTGATTTACAGACTACTGGGTGTTTTATCCTGCTCGCCCGGGCGTGGGGGTGGGTTGTGTGGGTGTGAATGAGGCCCAAATCTTGGAAAAACAAGCCAAAATTTGGGGAGTCCCCAGGTGCATTTTTGGTACATGTGCACTCTAATAGGCAGATTGCATGTAATTTGTTGACATAATTTGTGAGTCATGGGCAAATGAAGTGTAATTAATTAGCCCCTGGAAAACTGTCCTCATGTACATGTTTTTATGGATCGCATGTATATGTGTACCCCCTCGGCACATGTTTGGCATTAGAAAAAACTATCCTCTGCCACCACAAGTAAGTGAAGTTGACGATTGAAAAGATAAAGACATTTCACGTTTATCAAAAAACTTTGTTGTTAGATTACCATTAACGTCTTTAATTTTTCTAGTAAAATATTCAAATATGAAACAGATGTGTCAGACTGTGGTATCTTTTATTTCAAGCTTACTGGGATATATCGTGTCGACATATGAATGGAAATAACTATTGTTAATTCATAATACGATAATAATTTA